CCTTCTGATAATGCTGTTGAGCTGAAATTATAGAATAGGTGTAATAATATGGCGATTTCCTGGTTAACTAGCTCTTTATCCTCTGATATAGCCGAGAGTGTTCAGTATTCTGAGACTGCTGAGTGCATTTGGAAACAATTTGAAAGTAGATATGGTACAGTTAATGGAACTAAAGTGTTCGAGATTAAGAAAGAATTGGAATCTACTTGTCAGGGACCTCTTGACATAGCATCATATTTTAATAAACTAAAGAAGTTGTGGGATGAGTTAGCATTCATGCGTAAAAATCCTATTAATCCTTGCAATTGTGCTCTATAAAGAGAGTTGGAGGAGGACAAGTTGTATCAATTCCTAATGGGGCTTAATGAAACTTATGTTAGTGTTAGAAGTAACCTTTTAATGATGCAACCACTACCTTCACTTGATAATGCATATAATATACTACTTCAAGATGAGAGTCAAAGGCATCTACTCCTTAATTTAATTCAGAGTCGGCTTCTTTTAGTGTCAACAATCTCACCAGGCCTCCTCCTCCTCCTAAACAACAGTACAATCACAAAGTTAATTTTGACCAGAGGGTAAATGTTGATCAAAGAACTTCTATGTTTTGCAAATATTGCAAGAAGCCTGGACATTTAATTGATAAATATTACAAGCTTCATGGCTTTCCATCAAACTTCAAGTTCTCCAAGGGAAGAATATTTGCAGCAAATGTTAGTACTGAACCTGACATTGGTATTATGCCTAGTGGTGCTGGTTCTTCCCATCATGGTTCTTCCAATTCCAGTTCTTCAGAGCAAAATTCTGTAATCCCTGGGATGAGTGTGCAGCAGTACAATCAGTTAATGAGGTTTACTGCAACAGTCACATGTGTCAACTTGTGAGTCTCAACCCAATCTCATAGCCTCTGCCAATTTTGCTGTTACATTACTGTCTCCTGATTTGTGAAATAGTTCCAGTTCTAATTCATGCATGCTTTCTCAGGCTGTAGGATTAACTTGGATAATTGATTCTAGGGCTACTGATCACATGACATCTAATAAGGATTTTCTATCTAATATAACCCCTTTGCCTATTCCCTATCTTGTTTCCCTGCCTAACGGATACAAAGTAAAAGTAACAAGAACTGGTTCCTTTGCCTTGAATCCATCACTTATTCTTCATAATATTCTTTATATTCCTTCTTTCCATCACAACCTCATTTCTGTACATAGACTCATTCAACATTTCAAAAGTTTTGTTTTGTTTACTTATGAATCTTGTTTGCTTCTACCACAGGGCCCTTCACTGAAGAAGCCTTTGGATCTTGGTAAACTTGATACTGGTCTCTATAAGCTTATCTAGAAAAAGCCTTCCCAATCTCAAATCTTCACTGATTTACATCCCATAAATAATGTCCTTTCATCATCTGATCATTCTGTTTCTACTTCTACTTGTGAGAATAATGTTGTTTCATCTAGTTTTTCTTCTGTTAATGCATCTTCTTGTAATTCTAATCCTACTTTACCCAATATCTGTACTATTCCTTTCCATTCTACTTCTACTGATATGAATAAAATGGATGTGATTTGGCATCAAAGACTTGTTCATGTTCCTTTTATTAGAATGAAGCTTATTTCTGGTTTATCTGATTCTTTATCTTCCAAACAACCTTTATTTGTAATGTTTGTCCTATTTCAAGACAAACTAGGATGCCTTTTCCAGATAGTTCTATTACTACTGTTAAACCTTTTCAACTTATTCACATTGACACTTGTGGTCCTTACCATACTCCAACATATACTGGGGCCAGATATTTTCTTACCATTGTAGATGATTACACATGATGGGGGCCAAGAGTAATGCCTTTACCTTAATCAAGGCTTTTGGTGCAATGGTTAAAACTCACTTTCATGTTCCTGTCCAAACTATTAGAAGTGATAATGCTCTAGAGTTGGGTTCTAGTTCTTCTACTTCTATTTTTTTCTATGAGAATGGGATCATCCACCAAACTAGTTGTCTTTACACCCCTCAACAAAATGGGGTAGTTGAAAGAAAGCATCGAACCCTTCTTGAAGCATCTAGAGCTTTGTTGTTCCAATCCAACTTGTCTACTCAGTTCTGGGTGACTGTTTATTAACAGCAAACTATATCATTAACAGGTTACCCTCCAAACTCCTCAAAGACAAATCCCCATCTGAAATGTTGTATGGTAAGGTACCCACCTATTCCCATCTGAGATCATTTGGTTGTCTATGCTATGCCACAGTCCCCATACCTCATAGGGATAAGTTTAAGCCTAGAGCTACACCTTGCATTTTCCTTGGCTATCCTTTTTCCAAGAAAGGTTACAAGTTATACAATTTATCTACTAAGAAGTGTTTCATATCCAGAGATGTTATGTTTCATGAGCATTATTTTCCTTTTTTCGAGAATAGCAATGTATCTGTCTCTTCTCCCTTTCCTTCTCCTGTTTCTCTTGTTCCTGATTCTGATCCTCCTGCTTGTGTTGTGTCTCCTGCACCTTCTCTCTTTCCTTCTCTTGATTCTCTTGTCCCTGATTCTGATTCTCCTGCTTCTGTTTGGTCTCCTACCTCTTCTAATTTTCCTTCTTCCTCATCTCCTTCTTCTCCTTCACCTTCCCAACCTTTCTCTCTTTTAGATCATTCTTCTAATGTTAGTTCTCCTACTCCACCTATTATTCAGCCTCCTAGAAGATCTTCTAGAGATCATCACCCTCCTACTTATCTTCAGGACTACTTATGTAGTTTTCTTTCCACCTCTGCATGCTCTAATATAGTCCTTCAGCATGCTGAATTTGAACCTGGTACTTATTCTCAAGCAGCATCCATCCCAGCTTGGCAGAATGCCATGCAACAGGAGTTTGATGCTCTAGCTTCCAATCATACTTGGGATATTGTTACTTTACCCAAAGGCAAGAAACATATTGGTTGCAAATGGGTTTATAAGGTAAAATACAAAGCTGATGGTAGTGTAGAGAGGTATAAAGCTAGGCTTGTGATAAGAGGGGATACACATGTAGCAGGTGTTGATTTTCATGAGACTTTTTCCCCTGTTGTCAAGATGTCCACAGTTAAATGTCTCATAGCGATGGCTGTCAAAAGAAAGTGGCATTTGTTTCAATTAGATGTAAATAATGCTTTTCTCTGTGGTGATTTGGATGACGATGTTTACATGAATCTTCCTCCCGATCTTTCTATTTCTACCCCTTCTTCTTCTTCTTCCGACAGGCCTCTAGACAATGGTATGCTTAGTTGTCCCATGCTTTATGTTCTAAGGGTTTCACTCATTCTGTTAATGACTCTTCTCTGTTTGTGAAAGGTTCTCCTGGTTCCTTGACTGTTTTGGCTGTGTATGTTGATGATATCATATTGATTGGGGATGATCCTAATGCTATTCTTTACTTGAAGCTGTTTTAAATGATCAGTTCAAGATTAAAGATTTGGGTGCTTTGAATTATTTTTTGGGCATTGATGTCTCCTCTTTCTCTTCTGGTTTGTTGCTCAGTCAAAGGAAATTTATTTCTGACCTTTTGTCCGAGTACAATTGTTCAGATTTTCCCCCTGTTGTTTGTCCCTTGGAGCTTAATCACAAGTTATCTGCTGATTTTGGTGACCTGTTGCCTCAGCCTGAGACGTACAAGAGTCTAGTTGGTAAATAGCTCTTTCTTACGCACACTAGACCAGATATCTGTTTTGCGGTTCAACACCTAAGTCAATTTTTAAAATGTCCTCGAGCTCCTCACATGTTTGCTACTTTACATATTCTTCGATATCTAAAGGGTATATTGGATGTTGGGTTATTTTTCTCCATTTCTCCTGATCGTTCAGTGACTGCCTATATTGACAGTGATTGGGGTGCTTGTGTTGATACTAGAAAGTCTGTGACTGGGTTTTGCATTCTCCTGGGGGATAGTTTGATTGGTTGGAAATCTAAGAAGCAGCCCATTGTTTCCCTGTCTTCCGCCGAAGCTAAATATAGGGTTGTAGTAAGGTTGTTGCGGAGTTGACTTGGCTAGTTCGTCTTTTATCTGACTTACATGTTTCTGTTTCACTTCCCATTTCAGTTTTTTGTGATAATCAAGCAGCTATCCACATTGCGAATAACCTCGTTTTCCATGAGCGCACCAAGCATATTGAGGTAGATTGCCACTTCATTCGCACCAAGTTGGTTGAGGGGCTCATTCACTTGACTCATGTCCCCACTTCCCAGCAATTGGCCGATATTCTGACAAAGCCTCTAACTGGACAGACTCACCTTCATCTTCTTTCCAAGTTGCAGATGCTTTCCCCCTCCAACTTGGGGGGGGGGGGGTGTTGGACTTGGAGACTATTTGGCTTCTGGGCCTCGGTAGAAACCGACCCAAGTTGTATAAGTTTATTTGTATAGTCTTTTATTAGTTTAGTCCAATTAGTCCACTTAGCATTACAGGTTTTGGCCCAATGTATATATAGCTTCTTTTGTAGATATTTTGACACTTTATGATTCTGATAAAAATGAATCAGTCGAGAAGCTTCTTCTCCTTTCTTACTGTTCTCCTCAGAGAACCCTAGCTAATAATGTCTCATGGCGATTTCATGTTTTTCCAAAGTTTTCATTTTGTAATTCCAAATACTATTTTTTGGGTCAAACAGAGATCATTGCAATAACATGTTCTCCAAACTTCTGGAGTTGTGCTCTTTGTCTGCACATGCTTTCAGCTAATTATCACTGATCTTGGAATTTACAGTTTAAACAAAAGCTATATGTTGATGCTATCATCGTCTTATATTTCACAACTCATGTAATTAAGGAGGAGGGGACGTAGAGTTGCACTTGCACATGAATACTATATTTATAGTGTAAGTACGGATAAATTTCTAAGACTTAATTAGTAATCTGATGAATATGATAATTAATTTACTATCACATGTTAAATTCTACTGATACCATGCCACTTTTTATATAACTTAAATCCTTATTTGTGTATGCACAAATGTCCAATATCAGTCGTCATGAGATGCAAAAAGGAAAGAAGAAGTTTCATTACAAGAATTGATACGGTTTAAGTATCTCATCATAACACACACTTGAATGGAGAAACAGAACTATCCTTATCTGGAAGCCTTCCACACTAGAAGAATTAAATTACTGCAATCCTTAAAATAGACAAAGACTGTTATGCGGCGGTCGAAAAATAGAAAAAAATTGCAGAATGCACAGAAAAACTTGACATGAGTGATGAGACGAAGACAGAATGTAAAGATCAGTTGTATTTATGGGCAATCTCCAAGAGAGTGGCGCAAAGTTTTTGGGGCTCGCTCAGCATTGCCGTGTGATCAGCACCTTTAATCTCTATTGCTTCTGTGACACCAATGTTGTCAATTTGCCATCGCTGGAATTCTTCTGGTATGCCTTTATCCTCAGTGCACACAATGTAAACTCTCTTCACTGATCCAAACCCTTCATCTGTGAAATACTTGGCCTTCGACAGATCTTCCATAAACAGAGAGCTTGGTCTCACCAATGATGATGCTAATGCAATATCCTAACACATTATCAATTCAAATGTACGTTAGGCTGCTTTTATTTCTAAGAAGGAATATTTTCCAAGAGGGTATATAATTAATTGAGTTTAACAATGGTGACTTGACTTTTTTTACACTATAGGTTAATATGACCTACTATAACAGTTAATAATATGATAATTTAGGAGATAAAAAGTACTAGTATGTGTTTCTACAGAGTAGTAGGCTTACCTCAGGAGAGCATAGCTGGTAGAGTTTGTGAGCCAAGAACTTTGGGCCAAAAAACATGGATGTCAGTGGCTCTTCAGGGGAACCATATGGTACAAATTGAGTATCCAACCAATTCTCTGCTGGCGTCCGCTCATTATACTACACAAAAATACATTAAAATTGGGTTAAATAAAGCAGTCAATCACGACCACCATAACAAATGTGCTGTTTTTCTTTCTAACGTACACATTGATCACATTGACTAGAGATGGCAAAATCAACTTACCTTTTTGTATATCTTGGACAAGTTTAAATGGATTTAGTTATGGCTCATTTATTGACTAGATTCAACAGTTACCTAAAATGACACATCAAATTATTTGGTCGACAAGGGTCCAATAATGTAACTCAATTGGTCATGTTACAACCCGAACATACAAAATCAATTTTTTGGAGACAGAGGATCCATCAAATTACTTGTTAAAAACCGGTACAATAGTGTAACTCAATTGGTGAAACTGCAACCCACACACTAACATGAAAAAAATCAAATTTAGAGATAGATGTATGTCAATTTAGAAAAACTAAAGTTAATAAATTATGAAATATATTAACCTTCACATTTTTTTTCCAAAAAGAAATAAGAAAGAATGGAAGGTTGGGAAAATTTTATTTTGTGTCTCATACAAGTGACACTAGTTGTATGAGGCAACTTTTTGTCTCACAGTTTTGTGGACCCAGAATTCTGTGGACCCAGCAATGTAAGATTGGGGTCCACAATTTTGTGAGATAAAAAGGAGCCTCATACAACTAGTGTCACTTGTATAAGACACAAAATAAAACTTCTCGGAAGGTTGGTTTATGTTAGACAGGTTGAGTTTGACCCGTTATTTTACCATCATTTTGATTTTGACAAGTTATTTTACCCAAGCAAACTTTGAACACATCATAATTGTGACCGGTGTTGAAACAATCCGCCTATTACCACCTCTACATCTGATTTGACTTGATCATTTCAAAAGCATAGTAGTTTATATTCATCTACCGATGGTTGGAAAATCGGTTATGGAGAATAGCAATTAGTTTGAGGCGTGTTAAGGATATTGTTCTTAAAAATATTTCACTCACACAATAATAATAAAATTAGGCATATCTTCAAAATTTAACAAGCCCTTCCAATTATTAAACTGGAAATAAAACTAGTAGAAAATTTAAGAAAGAAACCCAGCAAATAGGAGGAAGAAGATAATTAAGAAAGTTATGTCTACAAGTCTCCTAAACACCTTGTATATATGGGCGTTGTTGCAAAGGTTAGTTATCAGCTAGATAACCGCTAGTTTGACTCTATTAAATGTAAAATAATTTATAAAATAATAAATAGACATAAAATTATATTTCAAAAAAGAAAAAAAAATCAAATCAAAATGATGGATATATCCTTATGAGATACCATACCACTAAAGTACGTAAACTCAGCAGCAATTGCTCAAGGAAAAAGACATTTTGTTAAAGAGTTTGGCGTCTTTTGCCCCAAAAATAGAAAGCAAACAGTCGGAGAAACGTGGAGAAATGAAGTAACGTTGAGTAGTTTTCCACCTCAACTTGCATTGTTAAATTTCACATACGCCAAAAATGCACTCAACATCACAAGTCCCCATATATAGAAATTTATTAAAGTTTTTAGGGAAAAAAATGAACACTATTATTGGAAAAGTTTTTTAGTGCCTAAGTTTTCTGGTATAGACTATAATCCACATGTAATATTTGTTAAAAATCACAATCTTTAAGTTCTAGAGTGCAAAGGAAGTCCAAACTTAGCAGACCTAGAGACAATTCGAAGTCAAATTGATGTGTTGTTTTGTATAACACATAATGTCACTTCATTTTTTAGTCTATCAGAATGGAAAGAAATGCTTTATATTTTTTACTTTTATAAATGTAAAAGAACTTTATCTAGTAGAAAATACATTTTAGTGGGCTAGAGTTTCCATCTTTGCATTCATTACTCTATCTAGCTATTTCCTAGCATATGGACGAGTGATTTTATTTTGTGTCTCATATAACTTACACTAGTTGTGTGATGACTCTTTTTATTTCACATATTTGTGGACCCATATCTTATACATTTGGGTCCATAAATTTTGGGACCCATACAACTAATGTTGTGTGAGGCACAAAATAAAAATTTTCCATATGGACACTACGAAGCCTCTCTTTTTCCCCGTCACAAAGGGCATTTTTTTTCCTTTTGAACAAATTAAAATTGCATAGCATTGCATTTTTAGAGTTCACTAACCATAAATACTACTTATTGACAATCAGATAAATCAATTTTTACCTTCTAAAGTATCGGAAAACTTGTATGACAATTTCAAACTTCCCCTATCCACATACATTAGTGACAGATCTAGACAAGACAAAGGGAGTTCAATAGCATTAATTACGTCTAACTAGGAGCCCATTTTTGTGAGAAAAATCATACATACATGTATTAATATATGCATATACATGATATAATACTCCATCAATCTCAAATTATGTGTCGTGATTTCTAAAAATAATTATCTCAAATTATTTATGATTTTATAAGTTCAAGACAAAATTAATTATATTTTTCCTATTTTACCTTAGTAGTAATTGTTCATGGAGACTACAAACACCTCAATTATGGATAACCTTGTTCAAATATCAATTAGTCAACCATATTTCCTTAAACATTTTATCATATTTTACACAAATACAATCAATAAATGATGGAGTACTAATTGCTTCAAAACCTAACAACTTCCACCATTGTATTATGAAGTCTATTCTTAAATAAGATTCTGCTACTATAATAATGAAAGAATATTTAAAAAGAATGGAGAGGGAAGTATAAACTCATCTGACTATTGAACATTCAACACATTCTTAAGGAACGTGTACAAGAGAATCATGAGATAATTTGTGACGGAGGATTAATAAGTAAGACTTGTTGACTCTAAATTTTGAATTTGTTTCCCTACACAACAACACCAACAACAATAACTCAATGTATTCCCGCAAATATAGTCGGAGGAGGGTAGAATGTATGCAGCCTTACCCCTGCCCCTGGAAGGATAGATAGATTGTTTCCCTTCACACGAATAATAAACATCATCATGCAATGACAATAATATGCAAGAATATAGTTTACCTGTTCCAAAACATAGGAGGAGTTGTGAACAGAATCAGGCATGAAAGCAGCCAAGAAAACAGCAGCATAGATCTTTTGTGGATACTTTTCCATAGCAAGTCCCAAATTCATACCACCAAGACTATGTCCCACTAATATAACCTTCTCCTCTGCTGAAAGAGATTCCATCAACTCCATCAATGGCAAAGTATAATCATAAAGTGTGCGAAGCTCCTCTATTTTTCTCAAATCAATGCCAGAAGCTGCTAAATCAAGGGCTGTAACCTTATGGCCTGCACCTTCTAGCAGAGGCTTTAGCTTGTACCAACTCCAACCTCCATGACATGCACCATGTACTAAAACAAAGTGTTTTCCTTCCTTCATTTTAATTTTATGCCTTGTAAGTTTCTTTTCTTTGGTTTAGTCTTAAGCCAAGAGAACTATTATAAGAAGGGCTGTAGGTAGTGTTTTGGTGGATATGGAGAATTTATAACCACTACCTGTCAAAATTCACATCTGGCTATTAGTTAAATATCAATAATCATGTGCCTTTGATAGAATAGTCAACTATTTTTAGGGAATGGAGAGAGACATTGGAGAGAATTCTAATTTAACAAAATGATGTAGATCTAATCCTTTTAAAATACTTTTGGTCTAACTTTCTTTTACTCCCTTCCGTCATTTTTATCTTTCGTTTGAGTTGTTGGCACATTTATTAAGAAAATTTATTATGAATACATTTGTTTAAAGGGTTTATATTATTTGTATCTCTTACTTCAATGAGCAACTTAATGACTATATACCTTCTTGAAGTAGTTAGGTGGAATTGAGAAAAAAAAATAATGCATTTTTTTTATTTTCTGAAGTGACAATATATCGAATCATATTTTGTCGACAAAAGTGATAGATGAAAAGGACCAAAGAGCAATGCAATTAGACAGAAACCATTAGAGATTGGATGAAAGTCAACGGAGATCACTAAACTTTCTGATTAAAATGAAATTATTACCTATCGACCAAATCAAAGTTTGATTTGGAAATTGATTAAGAAAAATGATTGTAGCATCTTTAGCAGCCAGAGACGGACCCATGTGTATGGGTGAGGGGTTACCGGACCCCGTAAACTTCGGATGAAATCCTGTATATATATATATATATA